GAGAGCAAACTCAATTGAATGTGAGTTGCTATAATAGCTCCTCCCAGCAAACAAAGATACAAAAGTGTCTGTGTTTGCGAAAAAAATGTCAAATTTAACAAGATGGGAAATATTGAAATTTACGAAATTAAGATATATGATAGAACTATCGTATAAGTTATTAAAAATATGTGTAAGTTTGAGTTGGTATATGTCCGTGAGGCCAAATAAGATCATAACGGAAGATCGGAAGAATACATAAAATATGTTGAATATAATAAAAGATGAGCTAAAATTTTCGATTTGTACATAGAAAATGAAGATTAAATTTACATTCGAAGAGGTGAAAGAAATTATCAACTCAAAATCGTAGCTATGTATCGTTGCGGCCATCTCACTCTTCGGCCATATCTCGTCGTTACTGGATTTTCTTCGTTTGTGTTGGTCGATGTCGTTGATGATTGGGACTCGCGTTTCGGTGGTTCGACAGTTTTCGCAGTACCTGTATATATTGGCTGATCGTCGGTTTCGATGAAAGCTGGTTTGACTCTGTCGATGCTAATTACATCCGTTTTTCCAGCTTTTTCTATCGTAATAGTTTTATCGTTTCTTTTAACCCCCTTGAATGGACCATCGTAGGCCGGTTGTAAGGGACGCTGCACATTATCCCTTCTGATAAACACATGGGTACTATCGGTCAGTCGTTTTGGCATGTATACACGATGTTGCTGTTGCCTCGGAAGCGTTATCCTCAGATTACCCATATGTTGCTTTAGAGCCATACTGCCTACGCATTTATTCACGCTACTAGCTTTACTATTAACCGCTTAATTGATTCGATGATTCATTCATTTCACTATGTATACATATGTCCATGTTATTCATATTCATTACTCGCTCGTTCGTTCATTCGCTCGCTCTTGCCCTCGCTCTCTCTCGCCCGCTCGCTTGCCTGTTTGCCTTTCGGCACAACTATTTCATGCTTGCTTAACGCATCTGTAATTTTGGATATCTGTGTGTGGTCCTATAATAAACGTAACTAAAACTTCGTATTCGCCTTCTGATTAATATACCGTTGGAGCGTTATTTAGTGACGGTTACCGAGACGAACTGTATACGGAGTTTAAGGAAGATATCGAACACCGACCACCACAAGTTTCTGATTGGCTGATTACTATACTGCTACTATATTTAATAGCACTCTAGAATTTTCGGGACACCCAAGGACATCTAAAATATTATGAAAACCCTATATTTTCTGTACTAAAACCAACCTTCCGAGTAAAGTACTTCTCGCATAGTTTGCGCCTTTTCTCTCGTGTTCAGGTCTCTGTGTAGTTCTAGCTTGGGGGTTACGAGAATAGCTTAGGAACTGAATATAGCGTTCAAATTAGTAAGACGTATCAACGACTGAGAATAAATTAATCTGACCGACTGAACTATAAGCTTCAAACACTATTCAATAGAGAGTGAAGAGTTATTGAATAGTTGCTTGTTTCATAATCAAGAGCTGATAAATGGCCATTCATTTCGCCTCTATATTATGATGTAAAGACCATGAATATATAGTTTGAATACATAAAACATCAAATAACAACTTACACTTTGTAATTGAACTGAACCAACTTCCAGTTGCATCTACAAAGCGAGAAAAAAGATTTCAAAAGTCACTATTATTTGATTAAAATAACATTGATTTCCTTTGGCGAAAACATTACAGAAACATATTCGTACGTATTAAGCGGATTTTTACTGAGTAAACGTAAACTACAAGTAGAAACACTTTTGGACAAGCATGGATCAGCGCCAATAGTGGTTAATATATTTTATTTAATGTTTCACTAGTGAATCGCTGTTTCGAACTTTGGAATTTTAGACATAATAAGGTATTTATTAGTAGGTTTCCAAAATGGTAATTTAAAACTAAATGCACGAAATCTGAATTGAAAAAAACAAGTAACATTACAACACATGCAAATTTTCTGTAATATTTCCCAGATAGAGTAATATGGATTTACAGTAAAAAAAATATTGTTGAATATTTGTAAATAATAGGATTTTAAGAAGCAGTAACATTAAGACAGGACAAGTGATTAGGATAACAGAACAGGAAACATTTGCAAATCAATCTGGTGCATTTACATTTAGTTAATTATCAAGTATTGAGTAACTACATTTAACTTAAAATTTCAGATGTCTTTCATATTACAATGAATCATGGATTACATTTGTTTGCAGCCACGTGAGCTTTGGTTAACAACTCATAATAATGAGAATATTTATCCAGTGAATAATAATAACCCATGTATTAAGTTCAGTTGATACGACTAACGTAACTGAGGTAACATTACTACAATGATTACAATAATGCACTTGTGTGTGCTTGTAAATGACATTGAGAACACCATTGCAGATGGACGGTAAAGTAAAGGTTGTGGAAGTAGATGAGACAGATATTCAAAAGAAGAATTACAAGAAAAAAAGGAATTTAAGATAAGGACAGTTTTTGGTACATAAATTAATCTTTTTGGAGAGCGTTCCTCATTGTAAATAATAATGTCACTAATTGTGTGGGATTATTTTATGCGAACAGTCCCTGCTACTTACTACACATAGGAGCTTTCAACGTCCGAACACTAAGCCAAATAGGACAACAGGCTTCCTTAGCTAGGACTTTAGAATCTCGCGCCATCGATGTGTGCTGCGTCTCCGAAACGCGCACACAGGATCCGAGTAGTGTCATTCATTTGACCTCACCATGTCAAAGTAACGAACCAACTTGATTTACGCTTCGTGTATCTGGAAGTAGTTTGTAGCTACTATTGTCCGGCCAATGGATCCGAAGTACTTCGCGTAGACAACTGTTAATAAACACCTGAATCTTCTGGATAATGGCTTTCGTAGCTTTCCAGGTTTCAGCTCCACATAGTAGGACTGTCTTGACATTTGTATTGAAAATCCTGATCTTGGTGTTAGTTGCCAATTGTTTTGAGTTCCAGATGTTCTCCAGTTGTAAATATGCTGCTCTTGCTTTGACGATCCACGCCCTTACATCTGCATCAGATCCACCGTGTTCATCAATGATGCTGCTCAAATATGTAAAGGTTTTCGCATCTTCCAAATCCTCTCCGCCAATTGTGATTCGATTGGTGTATGCTGTGTTGTAGCGAAGAATCTTGCTTTTCCCTTTGTGTATATTGAGACCTACTGCTGCTGAGGCTGTTGCTACACTGATCGTCTTCTCCTGCATTTATTGTTGCATTTGCGATAGAAGAGTCAGATCACCTGCGAAGTCTAGATCGTCCAACTGCATCCTAGATGTCCACTGTATCCCGTGCTTCCTTTCAGATGTTGACGTCTTCATGCACCAGTCGATCACCAGAAGAAAGAGAAAGGGTGAGAGTAAGCAACCTTGCCTGACACCGGTCTTTACTTCAAACGACTTTGTTAACTGTCCTCCATGTACGATTTTGCAGTTTAATACATCATATGAATTCTGTATGATATTGACTATCTTCTGAGGCACTCCGTAGTGTCGAAGAAGCCTCCATATTAATGTCCTGTCCACGCTATCAAATGCTTTCTCGTAGTCAATGAAATTGATGCAGAGTGATGAGTTCCATTTAATTGATTGTTTTACAATGGTCCATAATGTTGAGAATTGGTCGGTACACGATCGATCCTTACGGAATCCAGTCCCTGTTACTAACCAACTAATTGACCAAAAAATGATATATGTCATAAATATTTTATTCTGTGTCATAATGTCATAAGGAAAGATATAAGCGAATGAAAATGTGGTCACTATAAATATACGGCAGTGAAATGAACGACAACACAATGCAAATGGTGTCTGTTGCATCATGGCAACTCTCCGATTGTGGTTTTATAAATCATGTAATTCTGTGTCTTGAGACGTCATTACTCTTGGTTCAGAAGAGAAACTAATGATGACCAAACTCCTCATTTGGGTAACATAAACCTTAGCTGGAAGAAATATTTCTTGGATGTATTTATAAATGAACAACGGTGTTTTACAATATGTTATTAAACCCATTCGGTTATTGATATGACATTTGCCTCTTAAATTTATTTACAATATATTGATCATATTTTGTGAGTATCACTCTTGTGATTTCCTGTGTTACCAGTAATTACATGAGTTACAAATAAACTAAAAGACTAGTTAGAATTATGATTTTTTGATTAAATATTCAATAATTTTTCCCATCAGCAATCTGATGACATGGGCATATACTGTATGAAGACAATTATAGTTCAATAGTCAAAGCATTCGACTTTTATTAATGAGATGGAAGTTGTAAGAATAAGTTAACAATAGCTCGAAAATTACAATTATTGACCACCGAATAGCAATGCACGGTTATTTGTGCAGAATCGATTCTCTAGACCAAGTTGCAATATATATACTAGTGTAAGTCACTGAACAATACCTGCACTGTGCTCTGATATTTGGTCTCATTCTACGACCGGCAATAAGGAGAAAAATGACAACGGCTACTACACAGTGACCAATGTATTTATTATAGTCCTGCAAAACGTCAGTTGTGACCCGGATACCTTAGCAGTGTGAGATCAGTTCCCAGATAACTGCAGATACGCTTTGGTGACAAACTTGGATGGAACCTAAGTCGATTAAATCATTTAAATTGCCTTTCAGACAAGCACACACCTTAAGATATGATTACATAGAGAAGCTGAGGCCACAGTGGTCAAAGTACGCAAGCTTCAATTACTAGGTTGGAGGTACGAAAAACCTCGTCCACTTCGGTTTAGATAATAGGATAATATCGATATACTTTACACAAAAATTATGGCTTAAGGGTGAGAACATAAATTTCTATTATAGTTAACAAATTAAATTAATCTATCCATCGATTATACAGTATAGCGGTTTGTGAAGAATGAAAAAAGGTATACAATCTATGACACCAAAGTGGATTACACCGATAGTAAAAAGTAAAAATAACACAACATTTGAAAAGAAAGGTACAATATACTTAACTTACTGGTGGCAAACTGACAACTGGCTTATCATCCAAACGTTTTTCAATAAAATATGTTTTGATCACTACAGATACCCAATGGAAAAGGGAAAATAAAACAATTGAAAAAGTCATTTTGGACACACATATGTATTTGTATATATAACTAATAAATAGAATTTTCTCAAAAAAAGAACAAACAAATAGTCGAAGTTAATTAAGTTTAAGTCAGTAAACAAGTATAAGTTTGAGAATCATTCAGTTGGTGAAAATGAAATAGGTGAATTTACTAATTGACCGTCATTTTTTCACAAAACCAGAGTAACTTGCTCGCTTCCTATGATACTAAGAGTTCCACGAGTTCTTCAAAGCATAATATAAGGCTCACACAAGTAAATCCATCTTTTTGAATTTATCAAGTGTGATTATTGAAGATGCCTTCTTTGAAGCAATTGAGTAGGAATCGAATGTTCATTTGATTTTTCTACTTATCACATTCTTATCATGATGCTGAGTTAAATTCAGTACTAATGAAATAATTGTGTAATACTGTTTAAACGTAGTGAGAAAAACATACAACAAAAACGATCACTTTGTAGTTATTGTTGTCAATCATGAATCATGCACAAATAATTCTTCTCATCAAACACCCGACATTAATAATAATAATAATAATAATAATAATAGTTATTATTATTATTATTATTATCATTATTATTATTATTATTATTATTATTATTATTATTATTATAAACACAATCATATGAACAAAGAATATTCTTTTCAATTATTTCTCATCACGTTTTACAATTATAAATCCAAATTAATAATCCATAAAAGTGGCCAGGTTTAAAGCAGAGTACATCATTGAAAATTGTAATATGTCAATCAAGAATTGTTGTTTGTCATATAAAATCAAATCAAATCGTTAATGTTGGGGCTGACTAATATGAAGTGTTAACTTTAATCAGTTTATAAGTGAAATGAAATTGTGCAATAAATGATTGAATAAATAGTCAACATGGCGTAAGAGAGAGAATAATGTAATTGCAAATCGGAAATTACGTAATACGTAGAATAGTATGAATTAGGTCAGATAGGGATTGATGCTGAATACATTTATTATTACACTTGACAACATTTTTGAGAAATTGGTTTCAAATCTAACCAATTTTATGGATTATTAATTTGGATTTATAATTGTAGAACCTCAGTCAGTTAATTAGCTGCAACGTAGGACCGTTGTTGCTACCTTGACGTGGTGGTCGGACTTTCCTATCGTGATGAAGCAACCGAGCTATACTGGCTGGAACAACCGTTCCTCAAGGTCCTACCATGCTAGACAGGTCGGTTGGAGAGCGGTAAGATTAAAAGCAACAAATCCAAGGTCCGAAGGCGAAGTCGTACTGCTGACTGTACAGAGGTGTGACAGCAGTAAGGTGTTTCCTTCAGACAACCAATTTCCTTTTCAAGTACCTCCAGAAGAACACTTCCACGGTGTGGGCAACCGGGAAGTGATAACCGCCCTCACTCTAGACCACTGTATTCACTGTAGAACCTCACGAGAAATTATTGAAAAGAATATTCTTCGTTCATATAATCGTGCTTAAATATAATGGGAATTTTTCAGCGAATAATAATAATAATTCGAAAAGTGGTTTAGAATATTTCGATTTTTCCAATATTCATTCAGTTACAGGAATTAGTCTTCGACAATGATGCTGATCCTGGTTGTTTCAAAAGGCACTACTAGTTGTAAGGACTTCATCTAACATCATGGCCATATGCAAGACATAACTGACGTAAGACACTTCTCTTCACTGAAATAATTACCTCAGAAGTAGTCTTAAGTTCATCTATCTTTACTTCCGTTCAAATATACTATTTTCTGAGACATTGTCACTTTATCTGTTTTCCGGATATCATACTTGGAGCATTTTGATGTCAACATAGTCTGATTCTCTCGTACATAGGAGTAACGTCAGAGTGCAACCGCAAACTTCTGTCAGTCTTTTCAATAGTCCTGAAAAACAAATCTAAAACTTATAAACGATGATTAAGTGAGATTTCAATGGCGTGTATATGAGTTGAATACTTGACGGTGAGAAAATATTTAACCAAACAACAAATCAGAACTAACTGACTAACCTTAATCAGACATTCAACTTAAAAAATGAAATACAAACTAAACTTATGAATAATTAGACCACAATTCTATACTATTAAAATATATATCAACATCAGAGTGATAAGAATCGGATTGTAAGATGGAAATACATATTAACGGTATTATTTTGGATTCGCCAATATTTTTTTACTGATTTATTAAATTTATAATAATAAAAACCATGCATCATCTAGGAGTCAACCATACAAGGATTGATTGAAAGAGACACATTCGGGACCTTACCTAACCATAGTGAACAAACTAGCTAAGCGTTATAAAACATCAGGTTGTCTATTAAGGATAATAACGTCAAATAAAATTTATTATGGAAAAACTGCATACTAATGGTGCACAGATGATGAGTAGGGCTTTTTTTAGGATAAATTATTCCTTGGTTGTTTGAATTAATTTTGAAGATAACAAAAGAACCAGATGACTGAGTGAAACATGCAGGAATTTTGAACAGAGACATTGAGGCGTTCAAGTTGTCTTCCATGACAGATGACCAGTTTAAATGCCTAGTATTTGTCTGATACCCATTGTTCACAAAAAATTAACAGGAGTGATGGGTCATGCTACAATCGCATAAGACATCAATATAGAATTTTGAGGTCTGTCTAGCCGATAAACGCATTACCTACAAATGATTTAGTAAGAATCAGAAGGAATACATATAATTACTACTTCAGTCAGTTGGCAATACGTTGTGATGATTATCTAATATCATAGGTTATACATTATATCTCAATTCTGGCACACATGAACGTTTTCCTGAGAAGACATTGCTTTTATAGAGTTGAGACGAGTTTCCAGTTATCTCTTGGTTTTTGGAGTTGTTTTCTAGCAATTCATAAATCAAAAAATTAGTTATTAGAATAGGGAAAAGAGAAAGTGTCTTGCGGAAACAATATTCATTTTACTTACTAGCTTCATCTTGAGTATGTTTAATGGCGAAACATTGTTCTTCTTTATTAAAAAATTCAACTAACACTTTGAATTTTCGAATATCTATGGAAAATGAAAAGGGTGAATATATTATATTTACGAAAATAATCAACATTTATTGAACAACCATCATCCGAATCGAAATACGATTAACATAAAAAGAAATGAATTTCTGCCTAATTTACATTCAAAATAGCAAAATACATAAATGTTTTGAAATGTCAGTAACTATAATCGATCTCAAAACGTGAAAGTTGTCTACCAGTTGTGCTGCTACAACTATTTTTTCCGACCCATCATATTTAAGACATAAAAAATAGTGCAGTCATCTCTTGTTTCCTTATAAGATAGACAGGCAAAGTCAACAATTGTGTTGCTTCCGTTTGAGATCTTTATCACATTGCATCCATTATAACTCTGTACAAACAATTATTTTGTAGGTGTCACTACCAAGGTTTGACCTTATAATTTAAAATAAATTGAGCATCGGTTAGATTGTTATTAATAAAAATGATATATTTGTAAATTCCCAACGAGTAGGAAAATTAATTTTTCTGACGTTTCGTAACTCAGTGTAAGCCACGTCTTTGGCGAATAAAAAAAATGAGGATGTGAACAACTACACACAGGTGTTTATGTACAAGAGTTTTAAAACATCAACCTGGTTAAGAAGGATTATTTATTTGTGATTCTAATTTACTGAATGTACACTTACCATAATTCCATAAAACTATATGCTAAGGGAAAATAAAAAAGCCATATGATAGATCCACGAGGCGCGATCGTGGGTGAGCACTGCTGAAAAGTCCCACAATAAGACGAAACGGCCGTCTAGTGTTTTCAGGTTTTCCATGGTGTTCTACCTTCAATGGACCCATGATCTCAACTATGAAAATTGCTATAATATCTACAAAAACCCCGCCGAAATCCAAGACCTGTTATCATATATCTGATTGGTTCGTTCGTAAATTATAGTCTCACCAGTTCCTTTCCCCTATGCAAAAATTATGTTTATACATGTATGTATGGCAGGTGAACGCTTAACTTCTACATCAAACTTGTAAAAAGATACTGTGACAAATGAAACAGATGAAATTCAACATTTTCGAAAATATGCAGATGGATTCACTCTTTATATAGATAATGAATTTCAGTATTCCTTCATGTATCCCTTCTTCTGGAACCATGTTCTTAACGTTTAATCTTTCTCATTATCATTGATACAACAATTATTTCGATTTGTTTGTCACTTATCTTGTTAACTTCATTCCACAGTGATATGATACTATGCAACCTGAATGAACGCCTATTTGTGCTAAGCTTTACTTTAATAACAGCTGATTAACTCAACTTGATTCGATAAAAATAATCACCTGCCAACACTACTATAATAATTAAAACAGATGTATAAGAATTTCTAATTGATGGACGTTCGAATCAAAGAAGTGGTTTGATACTTTATCTTCAACTACTGAAAATAAAATTCAGTGTTCTCTGAATGTGATTTGGTCCGAACACTGGGTGAGTATCGTAAGCTACTACATATATATAAAACGTAATTCTAATTCATGAACATAAACACGAAAGCTTGGAAAGCACGTTAGTTTCTTCAAGGTGGAAAATAAACCGTATGTGTGACTCTCAACTACTTGCTGATAGCTTTTCCCTACTCAACATAGAAATGAAGGCTATCATTATACCTTATCATCATATAGTTTCAACATACGTTTTCATAACTGTCTAATCCCCCATAATCCTCCGAAATTAAAATTAATAGACTATCAAAATTGAAAAGTAACATAGGATGCATTGGAAAGACAAAAGAAAAAGCATAATTATGTGTAGGCAAAAGACAACTGACCATGAACAGGTTTTCCTTCAGAAACTTCATAAATATCTCTTACAAAACTTAAAGTAGCCTCAGAAATGTGCACTTTTCCCGCTTCCCCACTAGACTCCATTTCATTAGCTAATGTAACATCATTTGACCAAACATCGAATTTAAAACGTCTTGTTCCGACAATTCCACAGATCACTTTACCAGTGTGTACACCGACACGCATATTCACCTGAAATAATAAATGTACAGTGAAAACTCAGTAGTGCTTATTTAAAACAAGTAGCAATGAAATATGAAGACAAATGATGGGAAGTCCTTTTAGACCTATTTGGCACAAATCAGTAGGTCATATAACGGGGAGTTACAATAAATTGTGAGATATAACATAGCAACACAGTCAGGTGCATTACCACTGAGATATTCGAGCAGAGAATGACCTCGCTAAGATTAGAGACCGTATGGAAAATTGATCGATAGAATTTGATTGAACAAACAAGATATTGGTCACTGTTACTTATTAATGCATGAAGTAACAAACATCAACACACGTTCACGGTAGGGTTGAATTGATTATGTCTTCGATGCCACTAAAAATAAATGCAGACAGTTCGTGACGATCAATAGGGCAAGTTAATTTTCGCTTGCCCAGGTCTTAAAGTCAAAACTGGAAAATCTCAAATGAACGATCAAAAACAAAATACTATTCATTTGATTGTACAAATAAATTACCACATCATAATGCACTGTATTTTTTACATTTCAATACATAGATAATTAGAATATATCCTGGTAAAAACAAGTTGTATGGTTAAGATTGAATTATTTTAGTTCTGAAATGCAAAATAATATAAAAATTAATGGGTCAAAAAAGAGTTTAGGTTCGGTGATATCTATAAAATTGCTATAAGACAATCATTTCAATAATGATAATAAAAACAATTATAATAATAACTGCATATTTCTTCAACGTCTTCAGTAAATAGAAATATGTTATTTGGCTACTGCAAATTAACGAGTCTTGAGACTGGAGAGATCTACTTTGAAAAGTCAGAGGTAGAAAAATTACCCTGATGAGATCCTTTGTGCCAAACTTTAATAAAAAAGAGGAAACTGATCAGGCACTAATGGGTAGTTTGACCCAAGAAAATAAAAAAGTACATATCTAGAGTATATATAGCTTTCTGAAAACTTGATGCTAAACTAAGGAAGTTGGGGAAAATTGGTTTTCAAGTGAAAATGTATATGAGCTCTGACGAAACAAATGATAGACAAATCTATACCAATAGTCACGGATTACTCTGGAATGAAAGTTCTAGTTTGCAAACTTTTCTGTTAAAGAGTAGCGGACTGACTTTCAAAACAATGATAGGTTTCATATCGGATGCCTGACTATAAACAGCTCATCACCTTTAACCGATGGAAGACATTTGAGATTCTACAATTTAAAAATCTTGATTATTCTCAGGTAATGCTATGGCATGCATATTACTTGTTTAGATGATATACATTTCTCCTAAACTGTACAATTAAATTAGGATATACACAGAGTAGAATTTGAACCCATGACTTGAAAGATGAATTTGGTGTTCGTTACATCTTTAACCACGAACCATATATCAGGTTTGTATAGCAATGATGAAACATGCTTTCAGTTGCAATACGTAGTCAGCTAGTTGGTGTAGTAATCAGGCTCATTCACTATTGAAACATTATCTCTCTAAAGCTATTGTCTATCAAAAATTTAGCGCGTTTTCTTAAATTAATAATAAAATAACCTGTGTAGTCTCAGTACGGTTACCGCCCCTATCTAAATATTTGTCCTTTTTTGTCTAGATTAAACAGTTCAAAATGATTGTGTTCGTATGACATCAGTAACGAAAATTTCAAGTAGTGTGTTGTGTTTCCTTGATGCGTTTCCGATCCATACACAAAACAGTTTTAAAAAACAGAATAAAGTAAACGAGAATTCAAGAAAAAGCTAAACAGACAGACAGGAAGGAGAGTAGGAGAATTGACAAAACCTGTTTGTCTTCGTCTTCCAAAATGAAATAAGTAAATAGCAAAATTAAATGAAAAAAATGATTATGGAAAGTGCGCTGGTGATGGAAACATTGTTAAAGGTTCAATATTGACATGAATAAACAATAATCATGATAATAGTATGATTGAATATGCTTTGGTTGGCATCCTCAAGTGTATACCAAAGACTGACAAGTAACAGATATAGGAAATAATGTAGTAAAACGTGGATATCTCGGATAAAACTACAACCCAGAAAACACTATAAACATGATGATGACGATGACAAACATGGAATGATTATTTAAAAACTAAAAATTGCAAAATGCATGATTTCTTGATGGTTTTTTTCCAAAAGAACATTAGAAGAGGCATTACAAAACAATCGACATACTACTACAATATACGCTACTACCAACTATCTAATTAAGTCTAAAAGTATTATCCTTTCACAATTATTACGCATTTATTTCGATGTCATCCACTTACGAATGTGTTCAACTTGGAATTCCATTCTTTGTATTTCTCTCCTTGTGTGTGTGTGTGTAACTGGGTGAGAGAATCAGAGCTAGTGACGCTTCTTGATTGGGTTTTTAAACCTGTAGCCTAATAGTGACAGGGACAATTAATTTATTGGTATCAATTTATTTGCGTAGGTGGAATTTGTTGACGAAGAACAAACAACTCACTTCATTATCAAAAATATTATTACGATTCACAGGAATATCCTCCATCAAAAAATGATAATTTTCTATATATCATCCGTATACTACCCATGGCTAATTAGAATACGATGCAGATGCACTTGAGCCCGACCGTTGTGAAGAAAGGTAGATAGAAGTGATGACTGTTCTGAACAAATTGCATTTTGAACAAACCAGCGATTAGTGGTACGTAATATCCAACTTGTGATTAAAAATTTCCTAAATATATAAACGGTTTTCTGTATCTGTGTATTGAAATACGTACTGTAAGAAGATAAACACCGTCATAACATTTTACATCAAGCTAGCTCACTAATGATAGGCTTCGTATATGGGTCCATCTAAATTATAATCTACAGAAAGGAGGGAAAGCCCTGTAACAGAAAAAAACCGCTTTTCGTCCCAGAAGGAAACCACAACATTGTGATATTCTTCAACAGACGCACGTAAAACTAATTTTTTGATCAGTCAGTAAACTGATCCGTAACACTAAAGGAGTTAGAAATGTTTGTGCTTGAACTACAATTATTTACATATATTTTCATCAATCCATTTACTAAGTAAAAATGTGTGTATTTGGCTTCTAGCCATGTTCTAAATGTGAAAATCCTAGTAATCCTGACCCAATCGAAATGGATGGACCAGGTTCAAGCCTACGGTTTGGTGGTTGGATTTCGGATGTCTTAACCACTAATCCATTAACAGTGATGCATTTAAGCATATAAGCTAGTTATCTGAACTTGAATATGTACGAATGAATAACAGGACATTGAAAACAGCAATTTTAATTTTAAAATAGGAAATTTGAGTCTGCTCAATAGCGTATGATTAACAAGTAACCTTTTTCATACTATGAGTATCTAATAAGAAAAATTTACTTGTAACATAGGAGACATGGATAAGTTGTAGTTTTTTGATCATAACTATCTTTGAAGCACTATCCGTTTTTTATCGAATCAACCGAGTGAAAAATGTTGAGGTTAGCGCATAGTGTACTATGCACAGATAGAAAGTCGGTTGACGAGGTGATGGACTTTTACCGATAGAATGAGTGTTACATAAATCTAATCATCGCTTAACTAGACAGGTGACATCTGATGTAGGAGCAAGTTGAAAGAAAGATAGGGAAGCCCAAACTAAGACGTGGTATCAGTTCATGAAGCCAATGACTGTTAGTAAGAAACATGTTAGTAGATACAGACTGCCTGTTTAAAGTTACACGATAACCAGTGGTCGTAAGACTTGGGGTAACATGACTCAGAATCGTTTATAATGGCGCAGACGCTTTTACTCTATCTTTAGACATTGAATTCCTTCACATACACTGTCTTTACGAACCTTATTCTCAGTACTTAGTCTTTATAACTGCCACTGCTTCCACATTATTTCTATCCTGTTAATCTCACCTCGATGTGCTAATATAGTATGGCAACTTGGGACAACACACATGTGTCAGGCTTCAGTTTAATGGTGACTGGGCAACAAAAAATAAATTTTGATTAGAAATATAGTTGGACATTCACCATTATCGGTTGTAAGACGTTTAACAGACAACCTGTGAAACAAGTATGGGACTATTCCGATTTTCTCAGGCAAAAGCTCCACACAAAACAATTTACTAACACTGAGAACTAATTGGAATAAATAGAAGCCAGTTATGAACGACTGCAGAATAATCATGCCAAAGTTAACGTAGTTTTCTTTAATTTGGATCCGACAAATTATATATATATATATATATATATATATATATATTCTTTCACTTACTTCCTCTGAATGATCTTCATCAAACTGTTGTATAGCTAAACACATTGCTCTACCCATTTCCACTGTTCGCTCAGCATGATCTTCAGTTGGATTCGGACAACCAGAGACGCAATAATAACAATCACCAAGAGTGGCGATTTTCTCACAACCAACAAGTTCGCATAAACGATCAAATCTATCATTTACAGTAGTAGAAGACGAAAAATGATTGGAAATTCACACATTAATTATAATCACACCAAAATCCGTAAGAAAAATCTCATTCGTGATAATATACCTGGTAAAACCGACACATGTCATGATAATATTAGCATATGATACGTTTAGAGTTATAAATTGGTAACCATATACACTTACTATGAATGCAAAATACCATGAAGTTGGGGTGAAATAAAAATAATAAAAATGTTAAGAGAAACAAGCCATATTATGTGGTTTTCCTGTGCCACCACAGCTAAACAATCCATTCACACTAAGTTACTGTTTTTTTACACTAACGATAAGTATTTCGAATTACCACATTACCAAGTTTTCTCCGATTAGAACAATATGTCACACGACTAGTCGCAAGTACTTCTAATATTCCGATTCGCAACTTATTTGTTTATATGAGTAGAATAGCAGTTCACAATGTACCATAACTCATAAACCTTAAGTAGATACATGCTAGGGATATACAATCTCAAATGACAACTTCAGAAGCAAACAATTATCAACTAGGCTGAAATTCTGCTACAGTAAATTATTCAGTGTGAATACTAGTCACAGAACTTCAATATATTCTTACGATACTTTTTGCGCATAACAGTCAATCGGTTTGAATATTTTGACCATTTTTTATAGATCCATAATCAGCAAACTTAATGTATTTTAACTGATTACACTGGCTGAACATCAAATAGCGTCATCTACAAAACCGGTGCTTTTGCTCTAGTTAGCGGGCCAGGGAAAACAAGAGGACAGAATAGTTTTATTTACGGTATTAAAGTCGAAGTAGAGAAATTAATAGTACAGTGCACAAACGTATCATACTTCGATGCACTATTGTGTAACCTATTCACAGCAAACTAATAGCTATTTGTTTGAACGATGGAACGATGATTAATCGACTCAACATTTTCCTTGGAAATCTTTTATTTATTTATTTGAACACATAAATATTGGTACAGGGGGGGGGGCACCAAATATATATGCGCCACACAAAACAATGATAATTTGAAGAGAAGGAGAAAAAAAAGGAAGGTTACAGCAGGATCGCCATTGGCTTCTATTTTGAGCCATATCTGATGACGTCTCTAGCCACTGCGTTACACCATCTCTCGGACCCCAGCCAGGGAGTCGTGAAGGACCAACAGAAGCCAGCCCTTTGCAGCTTTCTTTCATACCACGACACCATGTCATATACTGACCACCTCTCCGCTTTTTCCAACCAGTCCCAAAGTCGGCAAATAATGCACGACGAGGAATTCTCTGAGACGACATTCGTAGAACATGTCCAAGCCACCGAAGTCGGTGTTTCAAGATGGTGACACCAATAGAATTATCGTCTCTGTTCCCGAACACTCGATGCCGGACCTCTGCATTACTGACATGGTGTTGCCACTGGATGCCAGCAATCCTTCGGATATAACGATGATGGAACACAGAGAGTCGTCTAACATCCTCAACTCGGAGAGGCCAGGTTTCACAAGCATAGAGCAGAACTGCTCTCACCGTCACGTTGTAGATCCGACCTTTTACAGCCAGACTAACATCACGAAGGCGCCAAAGGTGGTCCAGATTGGCATAAGCCGCTCTGGCTTTCACTATACGTGCACTGATCTCATCACTCACGCCACCACCAGCACTTATGCAGCTACCTAGATACACGAACTTCTCGACTACTTCTATCTGCTCACCATCCAGAGTGAGTACAGGATTAGAATCCTGCCAGTCTTGTAGGAGTACTTTGCACTTCGAAGGTGCGAAGCACATACCATACCTACGGACATTGATTGCCAACTGATTAAGTGCGGATTGCATGGCTTGAACATTCTCGCACAGTAAAACAATATCATCCGCATACTCAACGTCGAGAAATCTTTCTCCAGGCAACAGATCCACACCACCATTACTAACATCCATCAGAGCTGTTTCCAGAATGTCATCGATGGCAAAGTTCAAGAGGAATGGTGAGATTGGGCAACCCTGCCTAACTCCACTGCTTGAATGGAACGATGGAGAAAGGTGGTTGTATGCCCTCACTCTGCCTGAGGTGTTTGTATATAGGGCTTTTAGGATGTTAATAAACTTCTCAGGCACACCCTTCTTCAATAAACAATCCCAGAGAACAGTTCTGTCCAACGAATCGAAGGCAGCCCTGATGTCAAGAAACACTACGATTGTTGGCCTTTGATAAGTATGGCGGTGTTCTAACACTTGGCGGAGGGTGAAGATATGATCAATACATCCTCGACCAGGACGAAACCCAGCCTGCTCCTCGCGAGTCAATCCTTCTCGGGTTCTGAACAACCTACGAAGTATGACGGAAGCCAATAGCTTGGACGCAATTGGAAGTAGACTTATCCCCCGATAGTTGTTACAGGAACAACGTGAACCCTTTTTAAAGATAGGGACAACTATCGACTCATTCCATGACGTTGGTACACTCTCTAGTTCCCAGATCTTTGTAAACAACGTCGTCAGTCCCTTAGTCAGAAAGTCACCACCATCTTTAAAAAGAGCCGGAGGTAAGTCATCTGGGCCCGATGATTTGTAGCGCTTCAAGAGTTGGAGTTCCTTGCGGACTTCCACCTCATTTGGTGGATCAGTCGTCACCGGCCATGGAGGGCAGGACAGTCTGATTGGTGTTGCCGGAGCAGCAGGCTAGTTGAACTGCCCTTCGAAAAATTCTGCCTATCGTCCAAGACGTCGATGGATGTTAGTGATTGGCGTTCCGTCATCCTTGCAGATTGTTTCGCTCACACCAGACTTCTTGCTGCCAGTTGCTCGGATGAGTTGGAAGAGCTTCCGGTAATTACCAGATGCAGCTGCTGCTTCCAGCTCATTAGCACGCTCCGACCACCAGGCTTCACGGTCCTTACGCAAGCTTTGCCCGATTTTATTACGTAACATCCTTCGTTTGTGGTCAAACTCACGGTCACCCGGAGTAGACCGACGGGCTTCAATCAGTTGTAAGGAACCAGGAGAAACCCAGTGCTTGTAAGCGGGACGTTTCGCGAACCCACAACAGACTGTGCCCGCCATTTTCATGGCGTCATGCAATTGCAACCAATGCTCATCTATACTTTTCGGTGGAATGGTAGCTAGCCTAGAAGCTAGCTCGGTTCGGTACTTACTAGCAACAGAAGTTGCAGCCAGCTTGCTAACATCAATCCTTTGGTGGCGGTCACTTCGTTGTCCACTGAAAAGTAAGGTAAGATTGGCGCAGACCAGAGCATGGTCAGATTCCAGATAAGTACTCCAAAAGGAGCGGCAGTCTTGTACACAACCACGCCAGCGGTAGCTGATCGCGATGTGATCAATCTGAGTCCAGGCTTTAGATGCAGAGGGAGGACGCCAGGTGGCACATCGGCGATGACTGTGCCGAAAGTTAGTGCTAGCCAGAAACAGGTTGTGTTCTGTGCATAGTTGCAGTAGACGTTCCCCGTTATCTGTCCTGCAACCAACAAGTCCCCATCGGCCACCTAAACGACTCTCTTCTCTGCCTAGACGCCTGACCTGAGCATTCAAGTCTCCAACTAGTACTACAACATCTGTTGAGCGCACTTTCTGGAGAAGAACAGTTAACTGGTGGTAGAACTCATCCTTGATTGCATCCGGGCTGCAATCTGTCGGGGCATAGGCGGAGATGACGAAAAGACATCGTTTCTCACGCCTATTTCATCTCACTTTGATGGAACTTTCTAATCTAACAGCACATAACCGACTGTTAATTGGGATCCAGTCGATTAGTGCTGCCTCAGCTCTTGCGCTTAGTGCGACACCAACGCCAGCAAGACCAGACGAATAATATAATAATAATAAGAAGAAGAAGAATAAGAATAAGAAGAATAAGAAGAATAATAAGAATAAGAAGAATAATAAGAATAAGAAGAATAAGAAGAATAATAAGAATAGTAAGAATAAGAAGAATAAGAAGAATAAGAATAATAAGAAGAATAAGAATAATAAGAAGAATAAGAAGAATAAGAAGAATAAGAATAATAAGAAGAATAAGAATAATAAGAAGAATAAGAATAATAAGAAGAATAAGAAGAATAAGAAGAATAAGAATAAGAAGGATAATAAGAAGAATAAGAAGAATAAGAAGAATCAGAAGAATAAGAATAATAATAAAAACAACAACAACAACAACAATAATAATAATAATAATTAATCATTAATAATAATAATAATAATAATAATAATAATAATAATCATAATAATAATAATAATAATAATAATCATAATAATAATAATAATAATAATAATAATAATCATAATCATAATCATAATAATCATAATAATCATAATAATAATAATAATAATAATAATAATAATAATAATAATAATAATAATAATAATAATAATAATAGTACGAGTCATTTTAATGTTAATCAGAGAGAAAGGAATATTTTCCATAAGCAAATAGTTCATCATGATTTTAGTGCGTGGGCTGAGATATTGCCCGGGTGCTACTTATATACAAATGGTCCCAACTAATATCGTAAGGCTAAGTTGTATGACTAAGAGTAAAAATGAGCGCCACCAAAATCACAATGTGATTGTTGTTGGGGAGATCCAAATGACTCCTTGAAAAAGCCAAAAAATGCTCACGAAAAGCTGAGAAACATCTTATCCAATCAGTATTTAATAGAAGTCTTACCAGGAACGTCTAGAAAGTGAAAAGTCACATGTCGCGTTTCTGATTGGATAGTTCATTTTACTACTACTATGTTTATTAGTGTTCAAGTCGCTGTGTGGATTTAGTCTGGGGGTTACTAGAGAATTTAGGATACCGATTCTAGCGTTCAATTAGAAGACTTATCTACTGTACTTTTATTCCCCCTACCGCTTAAAAAACTTATGGAAAAAACAGTGAACTTACCTCCCAAAAAGATCATTTAATAGGTAGACAAGATGTGATGCAGATTTATTCGAGCTCATTTTAGTAAAACCAACAATATCAGCAAATAATACACTGACATTTTCTAATTGATTCACATGAAACTTTCGAAATGCGACAGCTCGTGATGGAGGTACAACAGCTGCTTTAGGCATTAAGCTACATTTTTGACTACAAGGACCGCCAGCATCACGAATGCCGGAACCCATTTCTAAGTCATCTGAAGATAAAGTAATTTAAATAGATATGAATAAATAGTGAATTTAAACTTGCTGGAATTTATACATGCATACACTATACAACTAACTAATGTAACTTGAAAACGTTTCTAGAAAGTTTCAACAAACGCGAAACTGTTAAATAACTGACTTGCTTTGTTTTTTAAATGAATAATAGACTGAAATGAAAAATAACAGACAATATGATAAAATTACCTAAACTGGTTTACTAATTACTAAAAGATACGAATCATATAAAGGAAAAATTGAAGAACAAAGACAGTGCTGCAATGGAAACAAAAATGTTAATTTATTCACAATTTGATTTTTTTAATAAAGTTGCAATGATCGAATATTTTAATTGTGACTGACCTTGACAACCGACTGCAACAGCCTTTCAACTTTTCAGACAATAATATTGACTTTATTAGACTAGTGGAACACAGCATTAAAAATCTTTAGGACATTTCTCATCAGATTTGAGTCGCAATTCAATAAATATAACTAGTGTACTAAAAGATTACTACTGATCATCGAGCAGTTGGTCGCACACAAAAATAGCTATGATGTGTTAGTGTTGGGGATGTTAGATTTATTTATTTTAACACACAGATATTGGTACAAGGAGGCACCAAAATACATATGCGCCACACAGATTTCAATTGATATGTGTGAGGGCTGTGATACTGCCCGGGTGTCCAAACCGAAGCAGGGGGGATGTTAGATCCCCAGAACTCACTTGGTAAATGCCTTAATTTTGTAATTTTATTTTGGAAATTTGAATTTTTTTGTTTTCGCGCCAAAAAGCGCTCTTTTCACTTTCATGTTGTATTTCCCACTTGGGAGAATCTTTAACGCTAATGGTCCGTTGTGTATTTTAGTATGCTATTTTGCAACGCTTCCCAAGGACAGCTTTATGCTGTATATATACGTTTGATTTGTGTCTGTTATGATCGCCCGTTTCTGGCTGGTTGCTGAATAGACTTCCCTATACCAAGCTTGGACTTCCTCTAGTTAACGGGGCTTGGACACATCAAACAGCTAGCTTACTGGTCTTTGGTCACTGAGTCTTGTTCTCGTTCGCAGATTAAGTAAACTCATGATTGCTTTAAACCTAGCAGCTGGTTTTCCAGCGCTTAGACAGTGATAAGTATTACAAGTTGCCAAACGTGACTGGCACTTTTGTTCGCGGTTCCAAGTTTCTCTGCTTATCTACCTGATTGGCTAATTAGTAATGAGTCCACTCCATTATATTCAACCGAGTATGGTTTGTGGGTAAATTACATACTATGTTGTACTGCCTCACTTTTACTGCAGAAACGCATGAGTAGAATTGACAAAAACCACACAGAGTTACAAGAAACTTACAACTATTGTTTCTTAAAATACCGGAACTGCTCCTTGAATCATGTGATCGGAAATGAGTTATTTTCTTGCTAAAGGGCAATACTGAATATTATACTACTGAATAAAGTAGACTTCTAACGTTTTATGTAGCGCAATAATAAAGTATGAGTATACATGTGTACTCGGCTTAGGGTCAAGCTTTTGATATAAAGGCTAGTTGACCAAAATGAGTCATAGAATCTGTAACCCAGTAACATAAAATCAAGTACTTTGACAACTAGATAATCGTCCAAAAGTGCTTATGGAAGTAAACAAGATGAATTATCAATAATATATTTGAAAAATGAATATTAAAGTAAATCTAGGTTTTGTGTGACCAAAGTGAAATTTATAATAACTACCAATAAGTCTCCTAATGTCAGCCGGATTAAAGGATGCTCAATCCACGATTGCTTTGGTGCACATTGATTGGCTAACTCTTGTCTAATCAGCGTTAGTCGATACTTGAAGACTAGAATCTTCTCATGCAAAAACTATAAATACACTAATGTTATTTCTATTGTGCTTCTTACTTCCATCTACCCTTTTTATTTGGAATATAATTTCTTTCCTGTTCAACCGTGTTCTGATTTGGGGACTTGTCGAGTGAATTGGTGTCCAAGAATACTAAGCAATAAGAATAGCTAGGCTGTAATAAGAGAGAAATATAACACCTAGGTATAAAAGTCTAAACATTATATTGCTAGGAAAAAATCGAATAAGATAACTCTGTTACCAACCACTTTTTCAAGCGGTGTAACCTAAACCCTAGCCATTGCTGATTGAGATAATAGTAACTAATTGTTTGACATTGTTTAATAATGTACGTGTAATAAAATCAGAGAACAAGAAAGACAAAAAGAATTGCAAGTCAGAGGCTCATAAACTATACTATGAGGCACACCAATCGTGATTGGTTCAATAATACCATCGAAGTGTTGAAATTCAAAAAATGTAGTGTTTGAAATGGGTGAAATTCACTTGATTAAATCAGTGGGGTATAATTCTGTTATTAAAATTTTTGGAGAAACATAGTTCCAAAATAACTTACACGCAAAATCATATAATAACTCAACCAAACATAACAACTATATTTAATTGCCCCTGGTGATTTTGAGATATGCTATTTACTAAAGGAACACAATCTTTTCATTTTAAAAGAAAATCAACCTATTTCTTATTTTACAAACTAACCTTGTCGTATAGGCTGCTGATCACAGTTACTCCCAACACTTGCTTTCTTTGGAGTTTGTGTTTCATCTTCATCTTCACTATCTACCTCATCAGCAGCATAACTGAGTCCACTAGTTTTAAAACTTTCACCTAAATTGATATTATTCGCTTCGTTGTGTAATTTTTTATCTTTCAATTTTCTATGATGACTTTGTTTAGAGTCATTCCTTTTATGCTTATTTTTATTCTTGTAGTTTGAACGCCTATCATCATCATCATCATCATCATCATCATCATCATTAGTGTCATATTCAACAGAACTTTCATTTCCCACTTCACGCATTACTTCTTGTGCAACTTGATTAGGCATTAATGAACGAATCATATCATCACGTATTTCTTGTTCCTTCTTTAATGCTTTTCGCATTAAAGCATTATAACCCATGCGTAAAAATGTTGATCGGCGCCAAACCTGTTTATTTAAAACAACATAATAATAATGATGTTCCTGCGAAAAGCGACTAGTTTTAAAAAAATAGTAGCAAAGATAGATTAGAACAACATATATAGATGAACAATTTTGTTTTCAATTAGATCCTCACCAGGCTTTATTCTAATATACATGAATACTTAAATGCATATATGAAATTATATCACCTGACCGTAGCTGCTACCTTGACGTGGTGGTCGGGCTTGCCTATTATGATGACCCAACCGAGCTAGGTTGGCTGGAACATATGTTTCTGTAGGTCCTACTATGCCAGAAAGATTGATTGGAGAACGATAAGATTAAAAGCAACAACTCAAGGTCTGAGGGCGAAGTCGTACTGCTGACTATAGAGGGGTGTGACAGCAGTAAGGTGTTTCCCTCGGACAACCAGAATCTTCAGCGATGCTGCCTTCTCACAAGGCAGGAAGGGGTTAGAAAAGGTCGACCCTAAAACTGTCACAACTCACCTTACCTCACGGTTTCTGTCTCCGGCGGTAAGACCTTTTGAAGAACGGAGCTAACACACTAAAAACCTCCCACAAAAAGGCCGTGTGCAACCGGCCTCAAGTAGTTGTCCCTTAGGCTCTGTGGTCACGCTCCCAGGCCGTTAAGACCAGCACTAATCCAACTTCCTTTTTAGGTTTCTCAAGAAATACCCTTCCACGGTGTGTGTAGCCGAGAAGCGATATCAGCCCTTATACTTGTACCAGCACACGAGACCACGTTGGTCACATTCAAATCCTTCCTACACCTCCTAATAACTCTCTTATCTCCACGACTAACCCTTCTCACGTCCCTTTATCACCTCGCCCCGCTAGTGCAAACGATTCAAGTACGCGGAACGTTATTCCTGGTATCCTGAAACCACGCTCTAAACTACACATAGGAGCTCTCAACGTCCGAACACTAAGCCAAATAGGACAACAGGCTTCCTTAGCTAGGACTTTAGAATCTCGCGCCATCGATGTGTGCTGCGTCTCAGAGACGCGCACACAGGATCCGAGTAGTGTCATTCATTTGACCTCACCATGTCAAAGTAACGAACCAACTTGATTTACGCTTCGTGTATCTGGAAGTCCTGATGCTGCTTGCCGTGGCCTCGCTGGCGTAGGTATAGTATTGAGTCCTAGGGCAGAACTAGCTTTCTTAGACTGGATCCCAGTAGACAGTCGTTTGTGCGCTGTCCGACTAAACGGAACAGTAAGGACTCGAAAAGATAGGGAAACTCGTCGTTGCCTCTTCGTCGTTTGCGTACTCCCCCAATGACTGCAGCTCAGATGATGTAAAAGATGAGTTTTACAGAAAGCTTCCCAACCTTCTCCGAAAAGCTAGACGCTTTGATGTAGTAATAGTGACTGAAGACTTTAATGCTCAAATAGGTAAACTAAGCGAAAGGGAAAGACACCTGGGTGGATCTTATGGTGTCGTGGCTCAAAGAACAGATAATGGTGACCGTCTGTTGCAGCTATGCTCAGATAACCGCCTGTTTCTTGCAAACACTAACTTTAAGCATAAGGAAAAACATCTTTTGACATGGCGACCACCGAATTCGTCCCAACGTTGGACCCAAATAGATCACATCGCTATCAGCCACCGATGGAGGGGCTAAATAGAAGACTGTCGCTCATTCTGGAGCACATGCTTAGACTCAGATCATGCTCTAGTACGAGCGCGTATTTGTCTACGTCTTACTGGACGTAGGAAAGGTGGTACAAGGAAACCCCTTAGGGTCCTACTTAATGATAGTCAAGTTAAGAGTATATTTCAGGAACAACTAGAAAAAGTTAGGCAGCCATGTAAATGATGCCCACGCCAAGGCAGCATGGAATGACATCCGAAAAACTGTGGAAACAGCAAAGATACCTCCTAGTACGGTAAACCATAAGGTTAGGGAGAAACACTGGATCTCAGCAGCATCTACCGCACTGATAGATGCTCGAAAACTCATTCCATCTGGCTCTGAACATAACGAAGAGCGGGGTCAGCTTAAGCGCAGGCTAATAAGAAGCCCACTCAATGATCGTGAACAGTGGTGGGTAGCGAAAGCAAGAGAGATGGAAAAGGCAGCGGCAATAGGTAACAGCAGACAACTGTTCAGACTTGTTAAGGAAACCGGTATTAAGAACCTAACTGTTAGCGAAACTATCTCCGAAAAAGATGGACATATTATTCATTCTCAATCCAGGAGATTGGATCGACGGGCAGAACATTTTAAGGATCAGTTCAACTGACCTTCAGCCACACTTCGGCTTCCCACGATCTCCAGTCCACCTGAATGGCAAGTGAACGTAAGTCCTCCGACTCTCTACGAAGTTGAAAAAGCTATAGGAAATCTCAAGCGTGGGAGAGCAACAGGCCCTGACAGGTTTACCCCTGAGATTTTAAAGGATGGCGGTCCAGTATTAGCAGCGAGATTGACTGAGGTCTTCGGTAGAATCTGGGAACTGGACGTAATCCCATCTGACTGGTCTCAATCACTGATTGTGCTAGTCTATAAGTAAAGACAAAAGTCTTCTTGTGACAATGACAGAGGAATTAGTTTGACTAATATAGTGTCTAAAATATTAGCTTCAATAATACTTCGACGCTTAACCGAAGCTCGTGAAGAGCAGACTAGAGAAAACCAGGCTGGTTCTCGACCTGGACGTGGTTTTATAGACCAGATATTCACACTACGTCAGGTCCTAGAACATAGACACACATTCAGACGCCCCACAATCGTAGTATTTTTTCGACCTTAAGACGGCATTTGACTCTGTTGATCGAGATTTATTTATATTTATTTATTTGAACACATAAATATTGGTACAGGGGGGCACCAAATATATATGCGCCACACAAAACAATGGGAATTTAAGAAGGGAAAAAAGAAAAAAAAGTAATGAACGTAGGGGATTATAAAAAAAGAGAACAATAATGGGGGGAGACGAAAAGTTACACTCAGAAGAAATCTTACATTTAAGGAGGATACAGCCACTTTTTATGAAGAAAGTAAAGGAAGGTTACAGCAGGATCGCCATTGGCTTCTATTCTGAGCCATATCTGATAACGTTTCTAGCCACTGCGTTACACCATCTCTCGGACCCCAGCCAGGGAGTCGTGAAGGACCAACAGAAGCCAGCCCTTTGCAGCTTTCTTTCATACCAAGACACCATGTCATACACTGACCACCTCTCCGCTTTTTCCAACCAGTCCCAAAGTCGGCAAATAATGCACGACGAAGAATTCTCTGAGACGACATTCGTAGAACATGTCCAAGCCACCGAAGTCGGTGTTTCAAGATGGTGACACCAATAGAATTATCGTCTCTGTTCCCGAATACACGATGCCGAAGTCACTGACAAGTGGACTGAGCAATGTTGGTAGGTGTAGACTACCTGGTTGGGGACCGCGAGATGATAGCAACCGATGGTTAGAAATCTTGAATGACAAGACTCAAAATCGTTTGCAATGGTGCAGGTGCATCCACTCTTTGTGATCTCCCAAATTCTAATCTTCTGAATTCTTCATTTCCTTTATTTTCTCTTTCTAAATCTATTCCACTGGATTATACTTCTTAAATAACATCATCAAACCCTAATGTTCCCTATCACTACTTATACTTTCACTACCTCGACGACTACGGGATTTGAATCTCAATTGCATCTCTGTGCTAACGTGGTATGGCAACTCGAACTGATGTAAGTATGTACGAAGTTCTACTTTGTTATCGACTGACTGATCTTATCAATCAAGCCAGTTTATAATCCATATTCATGTGTATCTACAGATTCAGTTGCTCCTGTGGAGAAAGCTATATTAAGCGTACAACTAGACAACTGAGCCAACCAGCTAGTGAACACCTACCTCCACCGTTGAGGAAGAAGTATAATCGAAGTAATACACAACTCTGTTCCATTACACTTAATAGACAGAGGTCATAAAGTAGATAGAAATAAATCATTTAAAGTAATTTATGATATACCTACTAGCTTTCTTATTGAATTTGATCTCGTCTCCTACACAGCAGAAGCCATAAGGACTCAAGCTAACAATCCAAGCCTTAGTGTTCATAAGAAATTCGTAACACGCTAATCTTTCTTTAGCTGAATAAGTTTTGATAAACGATTTTGTTATTGTTTCCCATACTTTATTTCGTTCATTTTTTCTTTCCCTCTTTTTCAAACACACTACTACCCAGTTATTTGAACATTTATTACGTACTTACATAATTTTCAATGAACTTTACTCGTGTCTATTTTTTAAAGTCATTGACCTACCTCCTATTATGGAACACTGATTCAATCCTTCATTATTCTTATCACAACTAGTACACCTGTCTTCACGCTATCGATTTGTACCTTATGCTTACTGTTTATTTATGTAATCTATTCCACTGACTTATAAACTGCATTAATCAGTTGAATAATTTCACATGTGAATATAATTGTTCATGTATATTAGTGTAAAGCCTGATGATCTGATTGAAAACAATATTGTCCGCTTATATGTGTTGTCCAAATTCAATATTTCAAAGATAAATTATCTAAGCAAAACACAAAATTGATCCTAAAAGGATGTGTAAAACACTTCAGAAAAAAATGGACTAACAAGCTAATTGACGAAATGAACAAGTTAGTGTCTTATAACTTCAAAATGTAGCAGCGAATTCCTAATCGATGCCCACATTATTTCTCATTGGTTATCAATGCGGATTATTCTACACAATGCAGATTCTCTACTGTCTACAAATAAAAAAGCAACCCAAGATAGGACCGAGAAAAAGCCCATATTTTACTGCAGACACTGTCAAAGCACATAAATTACTTAACAAAAGAAATCAACACCGATGTGTAGTAATTAAAACAAACTTCAATTTGAAATTATTTTGTTTTAAACTCATTACCCGTTTGAATCAATCGTAAGACTGAAATAGAAAACGTATATTGACGAGATTGAATAGTACTTGCCACAACGTTCTAAATATATTCACTACAAAAGCTCCACACGCGCCTGAGGACACGTAACCGAATCCTATAAGCGGCGTACTTAAATAACAAATCCTTTGGAGGTAGGAACTGTCAAAAAACGTCGTTAGTAATGAAGTGAAACTTAATATTGAATGATTTTAACAAGTTTAAAAGCTCTCTTAAGTCCAAAGCTTTTCGAATTGCAGTTTGATAACTCATCCTTCATATAATACAAGTTTGGTAGAACACTTTGATATTTATAAGCTAAATGAAGCTTTTTAAATTTAAGTTTAAACCGACCAATATCAATTCTTTTATTATGAACCATAAAGTCCTGGGATAACTAAACATCAAAAAATTCCCCTAACATCATTAATGTCCGACGTGTTTCTCCAACCACTTCATCAATTATTATTTCTTTATACATTCATAATAACAGCCTGGAGCCCCTCTGTGGCTACTGCTGGTAACAAGCCCGGATAAAGGAGGAGGCTTGGGCATGGGGTTAGCTATCCCATCGCGTAGAAAACTAACTCCCTAAAAAAACGCTAACCATAAAAATTATCCAAGCTATTTAAACTCCGCCTTGGGAAATAGAAGGTCTTTACTTAGAAGAGTTATGATGTCTCATGGTGAAAGCCGAGTTCCTACGAAAGTCACGAGGCTGATGCCTCCTCTGACAACCAGAGCAACCATTTATTTAGGTACATGGAATGCTCGCACAATGTGGGAGACTGGGAGAGTTTTCCAAATTGCTGCAGAAATGAAGAGATACAACCTGGAGGTGCTTGGAATCAGTGAAACTCATTGGACGCAAGTTGGACAACAACGACTAGATTCAGGGGAGCTTCTGTTATACTGCGGACATGAAAAAGAAAATGTCCCACATACACAAGGAGTTGCATTGACGCTGTCCAAACAAGCACAAAATGCACTTATAAGGTGGGAGCCTCATGGACCAAGGATCATCAAAGCCTCCTTCAAAACAAAGAAAGAGGGCATTACAATGAACGTCATCAAATGCTGCACGCCTACCAACGACTACAATGAAGACGGTTAAAGATTAAATCTACGATGGGCTGCAATCAGTCGTTGAGAAATGTCCAAAAAAGGACTTGACCATTCTGATGGGAAACCTAAAAGCCAAGGTTGGAATGAACAACACCGGATATGAAATTATCATGGAACGACATGGACTAGGAGAAAGGAACGAAAATGGTGAGAGATTTGCAAACTTATGTGCCTTCAACAAACTGGTCATAGGCGGCACCATATTCCCACACAAGCGCATACACAAAGGCACATGGATCTCAACGGATCACACTACGCAAAACCAAATCGACCATATCTGCATCAACAAGAAGTTCAGGAGGACGATGGAGGACGTGAGAACCAAGAGGGGAGCTGAAATAGCATCAGATCATCACTTGCTGGTCGCCAAGATGAAATTGAAACTGAAGAAGCACTGGACAATGGGGCGGACAATATCACAAAAGTTTAATACGGCTCTTCTTCGGAACTGACAAACTCAAAGAATTTATAATAGCCCTCAGCAATAAGTTCCAGGCCTTTCACGATCTACTCAGTGGAGAAGGAACTACTATGGAGAACAACTGGAAAGAGATAAAAGAGGCAATCACTTCAACATGTCATGAGGTTCTGGGCCAAAAGAAGCACCATCACAAGGATTGGATCACCGTCGATACACTGGATAAGATTCAAGAAAGGAGGAACAAGAAGACAGCAATCAATACCAGACGAACAAGAGCAGAAAAAGCCAAGGCACAAGCCGAATACACCGAATTAAACAAGCAAGTGAAGAGGAGCATCTGAACCAACAAACGTAAATATGTGGAATACTTAGCAGTGATGGCGGAAAAGGTTGCAAGAGAAGGAAACATGAGACAACAGTATGACACAACAAAGAAACTCTCTGGAAATCACCGTAAACCAGAACGACCAGTGAAAAGCAAGGAAGACAAGGTAATTACCAACATTGGAGAACAACGAAACAGATGGGTAGAACACTTCAAGTAACTCTTGAATCGACTAGCTCCATTGAACCCACCCAACATCGGAGCAGCATCCACGGACCTCCCAAACGATGTCAGCCCACCAACAATTGAAGAAATCAGCATGGCCATCAGACAAATCAAGTGCGGCAAAGCAGTGGGATCAAATAACATTCCAGCAGAGGCACTGGAAGCAGACGTAGCAGTAAGGATGGATCGTGTACCGATCAAATCGCAACTCTACGGATCACTGAGGAATAATCAATTGAATGGAATTCATCACTCTTCATCAACTTTATTAAGTATGGTGTATGAACCAATCTTTGGTCACCGGCTACCATGGGACTGCATCTCCTTGCGATGCTCCACTGCCTTGTGGATCAGACTTTAAGGTCGAAGGCTCGGGGTGTGGTCCCCAAAGAAAACCACCTGATCCGGTTTGGGCACCCGAGCAGTATCACAGCCCTCACACAAATTAAACGAGATTTGTGAGGCGCATATGAATTTGGTGCCTCCTTGTACCAATATCTGTGTTAAAATAAATAAATAAATAAAGCCTATCTGTAAAGATTCAGGTCTACAAAGCACCGGTGTGAGCACTTCTACCCTATGTTTGCGAAACCTGAACTCGAAGAGGCCATGATGTTCGGTGACTGTCTAATCATAACTATCTCCGAAGGATTGCCGAAGTTCAGTGGCAACACCATGTTAGTAATGCTGAGGTTGAGCGATGCGTGCTCGGAAACAGTGACGACAACTCAATTGAAACACCAGTTTCGGTGGCCTGAACATATCGCATCAATATCATCCCAGCGGCCTCCACATTGTGTATGGTTTCCCGACGCTGAGACTGAGTGGAAAAGTAGGAGATGGATAGTTGATGAGACAGAGATGAGATGATAAAGAATGGTGCATAGAACTGGCATAGAGTAGGTTCATCATGACACCCTGATCGCGGTCTTAGATATGATGCAACTCAGTGGCTCGAAATGTTACCAGAAACGTTTCAGAACAGTGGCCTTTTGAATCCTAGCTGTAGTTTTTCTTTCTTTTTTCATAAAAACGAAACTTATTTACATGGAAGGTTTTTTTGTGATTGTATTTTTAACTGAACCGTTTCTCCAATTTTAAACTACTCGCGTTCACTCATTTTCGTCCATTTACTTGTTTCTAATTATAAACACACGTCTTCCTCTATTGTTTCACAAGTAAATTTCCTTAGTCATGTTGTCCCTTTTTTCTGCCCAGCTGTATCGATATTTATTAAGTAAAATTTAACAAATACAATAAGCCTTAGTATTAATAAAATGGTTTAGTACATATACTCTGGGAATTAATGTTATCAGATGTCTCTAGCACACCTGTTTGTGAACTACTGGTTGATTCCTAAGTGTGTGGTTAGAGCTATCAAATCTTCAGTCGCAAATATTTTAACCATGAATTCATTGTTCTACATATTATAAAATAACCAATAATCAGACTTTGAGACAAGAGTTCTTCAATCTTATCACTACCGAAATGAAATTCAGGCATTATTACCGTTGGTGAGGATTGATGGCAGATTGTATGTCTTAATACAACGTTAAAGATACTAGGTTTAAAACGGAAGGCATAGGTCCATCAAGACCAAACTTAGTGGGACTAACAGCATTGAAAGCAAACGATGTGCGGTACTGACTATCTTAAAATTAGGCCAAAACAATCTCCTATTCTCTTTTAAGCAGGAATACAATATGGTAAATGTTTCAAATGAGTAGGATCCCATAAAACTAGTCAAAAACATGAATATTAAACCGAGTTCCTGGAAGTTATGATAAAACAGAGTGGACTTACTTGAGACATCAAATGAAGATTAATTCCAATCAAATGAACGGAGAAATGACCGACGAAAAACAACAGTATAAACCAGCCTGGGACCCGGCCATACCTCACACTTGCTAAAACTATTTGCAAGACACTGACGGGTCCGCATATTGCCAACAGCTGCCATAAGCGCAAAGGAGCCATGGTATATGTGATCAATATGAGCTGAAGAATTAAACTGAGATTAAAAGCCAAAGTAGCACCAGGTTCTGATGGAGTAAATGCAAGCAAGCCAAGCAAGCATGAGATCCATGCGTGACTAACACTGATTAGTATAGCTCGGGATCTGAAAAGTTTGTCGAAGAAGCTCGTTAAGAAATAAGTAACTGAGATCACAACACTAAGACTGAATCCGATCCTGTATATTAAACAACTAGGATGTTGCAGAACTGAAAAATACACCAACCAAGCGACTGACAGAAAAGCTGTCAATACAGCGCCAAAACGGAATCTCCCACGAGAACTTGGGTACGTACATTTGTAGTAAAATGACTCTAATACTTCCGAATCGAACTTAAGATTAAGTATTCCCCCAGAACATCTTTCAAATAAGTAAAGTCCTTTGATCTTGTGTTTCCGGACTGATTTGACTCCTTTAGTCTTGTCAAAGTTATCTCCTGAAGTCATTATGGGAACAATAAGTTATGCAAATATCTTAAACACCATTAGAGTGGGTGAAGTTAAGATGTTATATGAGTAACTGATATCAAAACCTTCAAGGTAGGACCAGACCTTCGGAGTAATGATATAATATTCTTATGAGACGATAATTATTCTGGTGGACTGATTTTCGTTACTCATTACTGCTTGTCCTACAACCGCACCGATGACCCAATCACAAAGCGACGATCAGCCTTCTCGCGCGGCTCTGAATGTTTCCCAACATATCCAATATCCAATATATTTGCTCCATGATATTATAAACCAAGTTATTTCTTTGTTCCATTTTCAAGTTTATCAAATATCTTTGTCACGCGTTTTTATAAACAAATTCACTTCTTTGCGCCGGCTTGCTGTTGTTTCTACACAGTTCCAGGTATTTGGTAGTATCCAGTGAGTAGTTGTCTCACACATTGTTGCACCAATTCTAGTGAGTTTGTTAGTGACTCATGTGTTGATATGTCCTATAGTTCAAGTGACTGAGTTCGTTCAAGGACGGTGAGGGTTCCGGATACCCGTAGCTATCACATCAAATGTAGGTCGTTTGATGGCAATGTGAGAAATAAAAAAGTGAAAATTGCAGAGCTAAGAAAAGGAAAGTGCCTCAAAAATTAAAAATTAGACTGACTTTCAAATCTTTACGCGCACTTTACAAACAGAGGCGTTATCCTAGCGTGATTTGGATCTCTCAAACTTCTGCTGGGTTCCGGCTCAACAGAAGTACCGTTATCAGTCCAACGAGTATGTCTTGAGCTTGATGTTTTATCCGAGTTGGTAGTTAACAGTGGTTTTGTCAAAGCTAACAAATACAGAGGTTGGTTTCGCAAAGCAAGCACAAACCTAACAGCAACAGCTTACAATGGACTTAATAAGTCAGATCGCATATGGGTATGTGGCACAAACATATGTAAGGGTTTCAGAGAATGTCCAGGTGTAGTTATGATGCTGTAAGCCATTAGGTCACCTCTAAGACGCCTGTTCTTTATTGGGTAGAAGTTTAGTGATTAAGGCGCTTTTTATAAGCTTTGTCTTGTAGGCTGCCGTAATTGTGAGGCTTCGGTCGTTCGACTGAACCGGAGGAAAATCAACGTTATTAAGGTCTCCTTCCAAGTACGTAGCCTTAAGACGATCAATACTGGTGTTATCACTAGTTTCATTCTTGTTGATGATATAATGCCTAGATGTACAATGAAAAACTTTGAAGGGTCCTTCGTATGCCGTCTCAGGAGGGCATCGTAACGAGTCACGACGTACAAAAGCGTGTGTACTAGGCCGTAAGGCAGGTTGAACGAAAACATCGAACCGAGTGGCGAAACGTTCAAGTGAATACATACAATTTGCTAGTGTAGGAGTTTATATTCTCCTGAAAGTCAGAGCGTCGTTCCGTAAACGAGTTGTGCCACAGCGTATTCAATGTCAACTTTTACTGCATTGAGGATAACAAGTAAGACGAGTGGGAGAGGGTTAGCCCACTATGAAATGTTTGTGGATGAAAGTGGAGCTTTTAACTGTCGGTGAAATAGTCCTAACAACCCGTTTGCTTATGGATGGTTAGCAGTCGTCCGGAAGTGTGTAGTTTTTAGTGTAGTGTGTGCTACTGATGTGGAGAGATGTAGGTGTTATGTATCAGTCGAAAGTGAAGTTCCTGAAGGCAGGAGGTTAAGAAGATCAAAGTAAAGAGAAAGAGAACAAAGAATGATTGGTGTGGAAAAGACAGAACAATGGAGTCTGAGACAACCGACTGATATTTACAAAATAAAACAATGAAGTTTGAGACAACTGGGTGACATTTTGCAAATTACGTATTTACTATATGGTTCTCAGATTTTACTAAGATTTTTTGCAGCATTGCGTTCAAATACATTCGACTGTCCCCACTTATGTTCTTGTTCTCTACATCTGGTGTCGCTGACAACCAGAAAAACGGGAATGGTGCTGTTTTGAGGACTCCGTTTTGGGGCGGTCCGAGGTAGAGAGGTAGTAGGACGACGGAAAAGTTCATATTCGAACTAGCGTCCGCGGTCTGTGGTGACAGTTGATGGTCAACCGAAGTTTGTAATCGCTGAAAGAAACATACCATGCCGTTGAATGTGTAGTGGTATGGGAACGAACCACACAATCTTCGAAATTGAACATGAGATAACTGGGAGACTAAATAGTCAATATTTACCACGGAGAAAAGGTCAACAATGGCAAAAGCGTGAAAATTCAATTCCATCAACTTCTCATGGCTCAGCCTTGCAAATGTGGTCGTTCTTTATAACTTATCTTTCTTTACATTAAATATACCATTCTATATTTAACCTAAATGTGTTGTTTAGCAACTTCAGACATTATGGTGTTAATTGTTACGATACGATGAGACGGTAAAGACAATGATGTGACTTCCACGAAGAATTATATAAATTATGTAGTCACCTACTGGCCATATTGGTATTAAACCAAACAAACACTAATATGGAGCCAGTACTCCTAGTCCTTTCTCTTCTCCTCATGACAAAACAGACAATCCACTAACCGTACCTGACGCCAATGTTAATCAATGCTCGATCTGTACGAATTAAGATGACTCACCTACGCACCCTGTAACTTCTAAACAACCCTTCACTTGTTTTGGTAACAGGAAAGTTGTTTGTTCTCCGATGTCACAAGCTCATACCTCCAACTAGACACCCATGAGCTTTTAATACTCCTAGTTCAACTGACACCACTATAAGCAAGTCATTTGCTAAGGCTGCCTACCTTGATTTTTCCTGCAAAATTATTTGTGGTGGTTTCAACCTTCCAACTATCAACTGGAAGACATATTATATCCTATTGTGTTTTGAAAGCATACTTTGTCTCTTATACATACATGGTTGGCAGAAACATGTACACCTACCAAAATGTAACCACAACATTCTCGACTTGATATTCTGTCACAATGTAACATCAACATTTGTGGTAGTTAGCGGAAAGTTACACAGCAGCGATCATAAAATAGCCCGCTACACTCTGCCGATTCTTTCCAAGTGCAACTAATGCAGGACAATAAATACGCGTTCTCAACAATAGATGCTCTGCGTACGTTGACTGGGTACACTTTCAATTTCTAATAAAGGATTCTGACTGGAGCAGTGACTTTACCAGTGATAAGCTCTTATAAACATTGCAAATATTCAAATCTGCAATATACAATATTATCCTATTTAAAATTGCTTGGAAATCAGTTACTCCCTACCCCAACCAAAGGACTAGGTCTAGGCTGCGAAAACCAAAATGGATGTACTACATATCAAAAGACTTCAGTGCTCTGCACCAAATATACATTGTACTTGAAGAATTGCAAAGTCAACACAACGAACATAAACAGGCATAGGAATATACTACTCTCACTACTGCACCTAAGCCTAAAACTTACGTCGTCATGTTGAAGAACGAAGGAGTGCAGATCACAAAATTCACATCATACTGCACGATGGTGTGACGCATTAAGACCAAACTGTCATATTTGAACTGTCAAGTGAATGGTATTACCACAATGAGAATACATCTCATGCCCCAGATATTAACATCAAGCGCATCAGCAAAAATTATCTAAGCACAATTACCTTAGATCACAGTAGTATATAAGCCGCAAACAAAATCAAGTTCTGTTACGGATGACATCCCATCGATACCTCGTTAAATAGCTAAGTTGGACGTACAAACACTATTACCCAAAATATTTACATTATCTTTGGAAGCAGGTACATACCCTGAAACCTAGATGGTGACGTATATTTTTCTCAAACATAAATCAATACCAAGAAACCTGACTGAAAACAAAAGACCTATAAATATCACCCCAGTTATATCACGCATAACGGAGGATGTGATATAAGATCAATTATATAATCATCCACTTACGGAAGATGTTGTGAGGGATAGTGTAACGTCATGTGCCATGTTAAACTAACACAGTTTATTCTAGCTTCTGGAGAAGACAATCTACTCATTCTTCACAAACCATACTCTGACCTTGTCACTTATTGGCTTATTTATTCTGACTTTTAGATGAACGTATGTGTGTGCACATGTTATCCTGCTCATCACAGTTTATTTTATCTAGATATATGTATTGTTTAAAGCCTGATTAAATCGAGTTGACTCACTTGCCTTCCCCAATCCACTTCTCTCTTCCCTCTTTCTTTCGTCTCACTGACTGCCTGTTCAAATAACTGAGTGCATGAAATATACATATCTGAAATCGATCCTCGTATTAGGCTTATTTGATTTCGTTGTTCACTAACGTGAGTTAGATCGATAATTACATATGAGGACAGCGGACATGAATATTTCAATAACAACTACTTATACGATCTAATTGCGGTCAGATATCAGACCACGAAAATTTAAAAACGTGAATACCAAAGGAATTGTTATGATGTAGCAGTAATAACAATGACAAATACTGAGCATTAAGAGTACGAAAAGTTATATATGAAAGGATTTTGGAGTTCCGAGAACGATTGCGAGCCATATCACTAGAAGTCTCCAAACCCTGATCACAGTTATCACTCTAACCGCATCATTTTGGTTTGACTGCACCTAGCTTTCTTATAAGTTGCTCTTACACTAAGCAACTTTTTCCATCTCCGTCATTAAAGATTACCTACCGAAAAACAATTCGTCAAGTACCTTGAAACTATCTTCAACGCTGCTCACTCGATCAGTCCACGATGCCCGATAAATGTTTCAAACACATGTATGATCAGCTTATCCATATCTTCTACTTTCACAGACCATGTTTTATAGACTGGACATACAAGCGCTATTACCCAAAAGATTCACATTATCTTTAGATATAGGTACATACCCCGAAACCTGGAAGGAAACGTATGTTGTCCCCAAACACAAATCAGGACAGAGAAACCTGATCGAAAATAAGAGACCCATAAATGTCACCCCAGTTATATAACGCATAATGGAAAAAGTAATATGAAATA